CGTGCGGCCTGGGGAGGGGGTCCCCTGGCCCCGGAGGCCCCGTCCCTGGGAGCAGGGTTCCCTCGCGGCCCTGGCCCCTTTCTTTTGCAGCCCCCGGGCAGCCCCCTCTCCCGGATAGTCCCCTCCTCCTGGGGGCTCCCTTCACCAGGCGGCTAGGCTCCTGGGAAGTGGGGTTCCCTCGCTGGCCCCTCTGGTTCCCTCTGCGCGCCCCAATAGCCACTAAGCGGGGGCGGGGACACAGCCCGCCGGCCTCCTGATTTTCTCTGCCTGCGTGTTCCATTTTGCTTTTCCAAGTAGCAGGAGAACAAACCTAAAAGCCAGGGCTCAACAGAGCATTTAAAAAAAAATATTTTTATTGATTTCAGAGAGGAAGAGAGAGAGACATCAATGGTGAGAATCATGGATCGGCTGCCTCCTGCACCCCCCTTGCTGGGCATGGAGCCCCCAACCCAGGCATGTGCCCTTGACTGGAATCGAACCTGGACCCTTTCGTCCGCAGGCCAAAACGCTCTATCCACTGAGCCAAACCGGCTAGGGCTCAACAGAGCACTTTAGGTGCAACTTGCAAGGTGTGTCAGGACATATTCGCATGTTTTCCAGGACAGCGTGCATTAAAAAAAAATTGTTGATTGATTTGAGAGAGAGAAGAAGAAAGAGAGAGACCGAGGGAGAAACATGATTTGTTCCACTTATTTTAACCATTTACTGTTTGCTCCCTGGATGTGCCCTGACCTGATCTTTGACCCTGCGGGCCACCTTGGTGTATGTACCAGGACAATGCTGCAGCAGCCTGAGCTGCCAGCGTGCATTGTCCGTGGTTAGGACTCCTGGCTCATAACAAGTGTTTCGATTCCCAGCTCCACTCTTCAGTTCATCACCACCGGTTGTCAGCTTTCCTCTGTCTCTGGAACAGGAACGCTGCCCGCGACTCGGGAGGATGAAGGTCATCACTTGCGAGATCGCCTGGCACAACAAGGAGCCGGTGTACAGCCTGGACTTCCAGCACGGCGCGGCCGGGAGGGTCCACAGGCTGGCGTCGGCGGGCGTGGACACTGCCGTGAGGGTACGTCAGGGAGTGGCAGGCACAGGGAGCCCCGCTGAGGCAGCCTTCTCCAGGCTTCCATTTAAAGCTGATGCCAGGCAACTCCGTACTTACTCATCTAGCCCCAAGGGAAACACTCAGGGAACAAGGGAGGGAACAAGGAAAACCGAAAGAAGCCGCTTTCTCCTTGGGTCGGATTAAGGGGACTTGATCCCTGTGCTTTTAGAACCCGAGCCGGGTCCCCATCGGGGACCAGCCTGGACTATAACGAGGCTGGAGGGAGGACAGTCAGCAATGGGACTGTGGGTTTATGGCTCAGACACAAGTTCCTTCCTTTCATGTTTCAAAAGAAAAGCTATGTCGTCTTCCTGAACATAAGCAGAGTGTTATTTTAGTGCGCGGAGCAGGGCAGGTGCTCACTCTGTGTTGCCCTGGATGCGTGTTTTGGTGTCCACAGGTCTGGAAGGTGGAAAAAGGACCGGATGGAAAGGCCATTGTTGAATTTTTGTCCAATCTGGCCCGCCACACCAAAGCCGTCAATGTCGTGCGCTTCTCTCCAAATGGGGAGATTTTAGCATCCGGAGGAGACGGTGAGTGTAGCACTTCAAGGTTCTTCAGAGGCTGCGTATCCGTGTGTCTCATGTTAAACCCTGAGGTGTGAGCCAAGTAAGGCTTGTTTATGTTAGAGGTCGCTGGACCCGTCCATTTTTCGTTTATGTTCTGGGGAGCACGAGCAGATGGGGGCAGCAAACGTAAACTGAGAAGACCTATTTGGAAATGCCTCCTTGCCCACGTGCTCCCTCTGGGCTGGCGCGGAGACAGTAGGAGGTGTTTCCCATTCTGACGGGGTCTCCCGGCCCTGTGCTGGCCTTGCTTAACTGTTAGTGTAGAATGTATAAGTGATCACAGTCTGTCCCATGTTTCTGTATAATTAGTTAATTAATAGGTTTAGGGCAGCGCTTCTCAACCTGTGGGTCACGACCCTTTCACAGGGGTCGCCTAAGACCATCGGAAAACATATATAATTACATCTTGTTTTTGTGATTAATCACTATGCTTTAATTATGTTCAGTTTGTAACAATGTAATTGGGGGTCACCACAACATGAGGAACTGTATTAAAGGGTCAGCATTAGGAAGGTTGAGAACCACTGGTTTAGGGGGTATCGTTCACATGGCCCTCTAATGTATGTTTGTTTCGTGGAAGTAGGTTGATTTACATTTTCTGCTTGTGCTTCTTGGCATAAAACATGTCCCACGACCTGACGAAGAGTCTGGGGGCTTTGGCTAGTAAAAAAGGAGAAAGACTCATTCAAGGGTCTTACAGTTTACCCCTTGGAACACAGGCAAAAACCCAGAAGTGCTCCATAAAGGAAAGAAAAGTTCAATTTTTCTTATGGTCAAAAGTACATTCTTGAGAATTGTCAGTCCTGCATTCTTAGCCCTGGGATTCATTCAGGACGGTCATCAGTCAGGTGTCGGGGAGGATGATGGATGCCAGGTGGGCTCGAGGGTGGGCACCAGGGGTTTGATCCCATCTGGTGGTCTGGGGAATGGGTGTCAGGTGCTGGACACTGAGTCCTTCAGAGGGCAGTCAGGGTTATCTGGAGGCCTGGTGTCTGTCTAGGGGCATATCTGGGCACTGGATCTGGACTGGAAAGTTCAGAAACTAAGTTCCCAGGCCAGTTAGAACAAGAATGGAATCTTTCCTCTGACCTGAACCTTCATAATGGGAATGATTTTAGCAGTTTGGTTAAAATGACTCCATCTACACTAATAAAAGAGAAACATGGTAATTGGCGTTTCTATTCTAAAATGCTGGATTTCCCTCTGTCGTATTTTGTTCTCTACCCACTCATTTTTATGCCAGTACAATGACTTAAAATACTCCTAAACTTAGAAATCCCAAATCAAGCCACTCCTTATGTCTAGATATGAATTTGGCTTTCTACTTGGTTAGCTTGAAAGGATTGGAGAATAGGAAGAGGAGATGTGTGAGAGTAAAAAGGGAGTCGGAAACTGATGAGATGGCACTAGGCAGTCAAAAGGAATGGTCGGGGCGGGGGCGGGGGGGAGTTCCTATTGCTGTGGCACAGGATGCTCAATTCTCATTGCAAAGTTGTTTGCATTCTGGGATGTAACACCTCCCCCCATCCCTCCACTAAACCAGGTAAGCACTATGCACAAGCATCATTTAGAGTGAAAGAGGTTATCTTTGTGGGCATTAAGAAAATGGACCACATTCCACATCTGCGTCCATCTGAGGCTGAAGACGAGCTGCATGTGGAGAAAAGCAAGATAATCTATAATCTAAGTTAATTATGTAAAAGTAGAAAAATAGAGCCAGAAGGGACCATGATGATATAAGGTCCTCTTGGGACTTTTCAGAGATGTGGGGAAAGAAATGCCTGCAATGTGATTTAAACTGTCAGGGGTAGTGATGATAGCTAATTTCCAGATTACACACATCCATTCCCATCTGGAGGCTATTGCTAACAAGAGAATGCATGATATGAAAATCAGATGTGAAGTAAAATATTTAAATC